GGTGTTTTGCAAAGTTGCGAGCCATCTTGCTAACCATAGACTGCAGAGAACAGATTCGATGTGCTAACTTTCTGAATAATTTTAAAAACCACTGTAAATACTAATTACAATCTTTTATAATTTTTGTACAGTACGATCAAGATCAAAAGATCAAAAACAACAATTTTTTGTTTGATATCAAATTGACATTTATGTAGTTTTAGACAGACTTTCGTCATTTATGTTTTGCACCGAATGTAGGACAACACAAAACCTGACGCAGACGACGTGCAACAAATGTTGTTGTGGATAAACCTACCAATAGGAATAAATGGGTTCTCTTTAACCTTCCTCGTAAGCTTCTCTTTAAAGCCTTCTTGATGATAGCGTTCCCAACCTGACAGCTCAGCCGGTAGCCCTTCCATATTTCCCGATGTACTGGTGAAAACAAAGTGAACGTACGCGTATGTCCCCTTGACCTATGACCTATGACCGATGCACTGTTTGTAGGTTAGCGTTATTTTTAACAGTTTCCGATTCTGTGAAAGAAATTTACATAACAAATAAAAATATATGTATATGCTCATCTGTTTGGTCTTAATATTGTATATTTCTAATTTGTACAATGTTTAGAGTGTGTAATCATAATTTCCAAACAAAGTGATTTTTCTCGAATAGACAGACTGACAAACTAACGACATGTTCAGTCATTCCACTCTCAAAACGTGTTGATGTAGATATTTGCAGAAGTATTTCTTGAACGATGCCAAAGAAACAATCGAAGAGGAAGAAGTATCATTACAATGTTAACAGAAAGAAAGAATGGAAGAAATCCAAAAGGCTTCCGGCCATTGGTTGGTAAGGATAGAGTTTTTTGCTACAAACGTGTGTCTCGGTCACTTATGTTTACCACAGTCCCTCTATCTCTATCTATGATAAAGGGACTGCGGGTTTACATATTGTGACATTTCCACACCATGACCATTAAAGTAGAAGCCTCATAAATGCAAATACCCTGAATTTATTCATATTGCAATAAATTGTACTCTCAGACAATATTGGCGATCACCAGCCTAATTTTCAGGAAAATAATGATTATATTTTAGTTGATAGTGGCCATTTTGTCAATTAACGCTTTTACCGTAGTCTCCCATGGCAGAAATATTATGCCATTTCTCAAATTGTAGGTTGGTGACATCCTGTAGCCTGAACAAAAATATATGTATTATGACTGATGGTGTACTTTTTGTTCTGAATTATTTAAAAATCTGGGTTTCAAAAACAATAAATAATGCAATTTTTCTTAAACATTGTGTTTATGAAATATTCTAAAAATATCAATTTTTTGAAAAATATTGGTGACATATAGGTTGGTGACATCCTGTAGTCTGAAAAAAAAATATATGTATTGTGACTGATGGTGTACTTTTTGTTCTGAATTATTTAAAAAATCTGGGTTTCAAAAACAATAAAAAATGCAATTTTTCTTAAACATTGTGTTCTATGAAATATTATTCTAAGAATAGAAATTTTTTGAAAAATATTAGGACAAGTCTCTCAATATATATCACTGTAACACACAAAAGAAAGAAATTTGTAATGCCCTGGGACAATAGCTCCAAAATTTTTTTAAACAAGACACCAATGAAAATTGTTGTGCAATTTTTGACCAACTTTTTCAAAAATTGTGAGTAGGCTTCTACCTTAAATCTTAATGGACCGTTATTATACTGTAATATTGTGCATTGATATTAATTAAGTTACTGAAAATTAGTACGGTACATCAAATGGCCACTTAAATAGAGATTGATTTAATATTTGGTGGCTGCTTTTCTACAGCACCATTGGATCATTGGATGAGTACTCTATATACATTTTTACGATCTTTCCAAATTGTTGAGGTTGATATAAATAGATCGAAGTACAATAAAATCATCAAAATTGGTCAGTATCAATTTTTAAAGATTATTATTCTGACCTATTTGTTATATATCAGTACAAATACACACATGTGATAAAAACAGTGTGTTTTCAAATATATGAATAATAAAATTATATTTGACGATTTTACCTATTAACAGTTCACAAATCAAGAAGGCATGGGACAATACGAAGTCTGTGAAACAGAATCTATCTGATATGGGCTTGGCCGTAGATCCCAACATTTCTATTCCAATTCCTACAGCTAAGGTGAGTGAAACTAACCTGTCCCTAATTTTGAAAATTACTCAAATTACCATTAGTGCATGTAAGACCTTATGTGCTCTATCGGGAGCACCATACGCTTATATAAATGCCCTGTCCATCTCTCAAAGTAACAGTGTCGTGTCCAATCAACGTAAAAACAAATTAATAATATTGAGTTGGCACTGTTCCAAACTCAACCACAGAATATGATAGAAGCGTTCTCTTGAGACCTAGACACAACCCGCTGTCATCTTTTTTCACTTGCAAGTGATTTAATGTACAACATTGGTATAAATTGTATATTGTTATGCTTTCAGTGAACACATTTCGATGATGGCCGTTACAAATTGTACAAATTGACACAGGAAATATTTTATTGAAAATAAACATCGATAATTACTGCTATTCCATATTAGCAGTGCATATGTGTACATAAATGACAAATATAAATATACAATGTATGGTCAAAATTAGTCTTATTTTTATGATCCACAGCATACAATAAATGCAATCTTTTAATACAGCAAATACACTACTCAAAATATGTTCCTACTACCGCTATAGAAGGGATATTTCTTGCTCAATAATGTTATTTTTACGTTTTCTATTTCAGCAATTACTGAAACATCAGAAACTTGAAACTATGGATCTTGCTGAAGTGAGGAAACTAGCAAGTAAAGACCATGTTGTTGAAGGTAGGAACGGCAGATAGAGGGCACTGTGACTTGTGCTGAAAGAGTCGTAGCAAAACTTTTTTTTTTTGCCATTTTTAAGACCCATTTCAAAAATTTGGTAAGGGTCAGTGTGGTATGTAAACTAGAAATAATCAGCGAACAGTTGTGGTGCTCGAATTATGCCTTTGCTTAGCTTTCTTACTTTGTGAATTTGTTGCTAAAATGCCTGTGCAATGCCCACCCACACCTTTCCCATTTTAGATCTGTGTCCTACTGAAATGGGCAGTTATTGATTTTTTTTGCTGAAAATGATTACTCATATCCAAGTAAATTTGGGATATTTCTCGTGTTGTAGCCATGCAGTTATTTGCATATAATTTGCGTACATTTACATAATAATAGAAATTGACCAGAGCACATTTACACCCACACAATAAACAACATATATTTTCAAAAACAAAGTGGCAGATATTTATTTGCTTCACACAGTGTTATAAACACTTTTATTTTGGGCACTTTTGTAATATTAATGAGCTCTGTCACAGTGCAAATATTTTTTTTTTGGAGTCAAAATATTAAGTTTCACAATTTAGAAGAGTTTGAATTTAAAAATGAAACATTCTCGAAATGCAAGCAAATAAATTGTAAAAGGTTAAATGAAACTCATTTAAAACGTTTCAGCCACGATTATGTTAACGACTTTCATGATCTTATTTATTACAAAATTCTCCTTCAAAAAAATCGACCACGTAATTATTTGCCGGATTGCTGGTTATTATTCAGACTATCGGCTTCTACAAGTTTACATTTACAATATTAATGAACGAATAAATAACACTTCCAAACGATCGTCAAAGTTACGATGTGACAAAACTAACTTTGATCGGGAGAAATTATTTTTGATCACTCGATCACACAGACCCGCCATGATAGTTATGACGCATTAGTTGACCGGTATGTGTCCTTTGACCTTGTGGGTCAAAAACGCCATTAACCAATCATAATGCCGAATGGTAATGCCGGTAGAACCTTAAGTTTTCCGAATGATCGTGATCATAAAAATTACATTGCGGTAGTAAAGCGATGTCGTAGCACGATGTGTTGGTGTGGATTTCAGATGAAAACTGCATGATGGTTTTCGAAAGAGGTGATTAGCAATTTTTAATAGGTAAAAGACGTCTTGAAAGAAGAGTTTTTACATGATTCACGATGATAACAGTTCAAATGTATTTTACCCAATCACACAATAAACACTTTGTTTTTTCTTGAGTAGCGTAAACTGATCATGAACTCCGCTTTGCCCATGTTACATTGGGGTGGAATTGATTTTGAAAGAATTTTAGCTTTCAATCTAAAGACTGCGTCTATCGTCGGAAAGTATTTACTTGTAAAGAGGTGCTAATTTTACAAAATTGACTTGTATTGTTTAAAGCCGCTACCACATCGCGCGACTATGTCTATTGTTTACAAATTATTATCCACGACTGGCAGGATGCGTGTCGGTCGGTACGTAAGTATGATAACAATATGACAATAGTCCTGGTCGGAAGCGTTTCCGTGGTGGTCTCTAATTTTGAGTGCCGGTCGGGCCGACCAGCGTGACGAGATGCCCAATAAAAAAAGCACTGTGGCGGTCTTGCTAATCACCATGGCGGTGTCAGACCGGTGTGGCGGCAAATTGAAGCACTGTGGCGGGGACCGCCTTGCTGTTTACATCCTGGGGAGAACACTGTGTTTGATTTGGTGGTTACAGACACCACAAGCTTCACTGCTCTAAAATTTCAAGATTTGATCACTTATCATTTTTCATGATGATCACAAGTATTAGTGGGATGTGTTCAGTGAGAATGCAGTTCAAGCTATGCATGCATGGAATGAAGAACACATAAGATCTATGTCATATATATTTCTTGAATTCTCAACTGCTCTATATAATGAGCATTTTAGGTTATCCCCTCAGCTAGATGCTTCTAGTAAATATTGCATATTTTCTTTCATGATTTTCCTCATTTCTTGTTATCTATAACTTATAACTATAGATAGCCATATTCATAATTAAGTGGGATTTGTAACTATGTTAAAATGATTTGTAAAATGTTGTTTGTTCTACTGGGAGAAAATTGAACTGTAGCACTGGACAATAATCCTTGCATAATTATCATTGTGCACTGATGTTGTGCATTTAAGATATAGGTACAGGTTGGCCCTTCAAGCTCTGTTAACTAAATAAGTGACATTTAAGTCTTATTTATGTATTGCATTTACTGATAAACAATGATTTATTTGTTGTTAGAGCTTGTGAAAGAAGCTAGTTTGCCAGAAAAGAAAGCACACACCAGGTTTTCAAGACCAGAAGTGTCATATTGTACATATATGATTGACAAGTATGGAGAGGATTATAAGGTAGAGTTGAATGAGAATAAATATGTGCAAACAATTTTACACTTTTTTAAATTGTGTCTCCTTCTAGAATTACCTTGATCATATTGAAGCCCAGAAATGTACCAAAATTTGGACCATCCTTGGCCTTTGTAGACTTGAGCAATCAACATGTGACGAAAATCTCTAAAAGCCACAACATTGTTTAGTCTCGTATTTCAGTATTTGAGCTACAAATATAATGTGAAATATTAAATAAAAAATAAATTATATTTATACAGCTAGATAATTGCAAATATTATACTGTATTTATTCTATTAGTAGTGTATGCGCTTACTATGGTTACAGTAATATCGGTATTTTAATGATTCAGTATACATAAAATGTGATTTTTGCTTCTATTGGAGATGCTCTCCTAATAGAGCAAATACAGTAAATGGGTTTTGAATGCTAATGTTCAATCTTTGTTTTTTTTTTATGTAGGCAATGGCAAGGGATCGAAAGAATTATTATCAAGAAACACCAAAACAGATTAAACAAAAAATAAAGACTTTTAAATCAACGGAACAGTACACTAAATATGTGGAAGAGAAAAATCCAGAATCAACAGGAAGTCAATCAATGGATACATGATGTCCACAGGTCAGCTATATGAAAGTGTTTCATTTGGTTAATTCCTAGTGAGAAAAACATTAACCCTTTGCACACCATAGATACTTTGTTGCAACAATGTTGCAGGGCCCATTACTAATTTGCATTTTTTACTCCCATTACCCAAAACTTCTTTACCAATTCAGTGTGAGCCAGGTAGGTTGACATGTACACAGGGAAAAGAAGACTAGGACACTGTAGTTTCATTTCATTTAAAAAAACAAACATTTTATTCACTTGGTTTCTAATTTATTATAAAAAAATATTACTCAATGCTGTAGCACACAGGCATGGTACCTGATAAAGCAGTCATCTTTACACAGAAATACATTACAAAACTTGCACCCAAATGAAATCTCCACAGAATAATCCTTAGGAGTTTTCTTACCAATTCTAGAACAATATTTACAAGAACGTTTCTTTCGCTTGGAATTTGGTTGCATCATTTCACACTTATGAGTAGGGAGGTTGGCGTAACTCAAGCTGTTTTCAACACCAAGTGACTGTGGTTCACGGCAAATGTGATATCCCAGAGTTCAATGCGTTTTGTACCATCCAATATACACTTTATCTCCGCACGAGGGCGCAATTTCAAATTGAAAGAAAAACTAGCATACACGCTATTACCATTCTAGGACTTCAATTGACCCACCAGCCTCATTCCCAACTTGATACTGGAATTCTCATTTTTTTGATGTATTTAAAGTTTTTTACCCGGATCGTTTTAACCATTTCAATAAATAGTTATAGACTATAATTGATTATGCGAAATTACTGCATTTTTGGTGGTTTTTGGCCTACTCCTCTCACTGTTATGTTAGAATTACCGCGAGAGTGCCTCCCATGGATTGTCAACATGGCGGCTCACAAAGTTACGTTCGGTAAGTCCTTTTTTTTTACGTTTTACACACAAAAAAAGCAATTTTTAGAAAATAACGTTCGATTTCTTCCATTGTTGGCGCCTTTTTTGTTGCAAAAATGCTGGTCGTGAAAATG